ATATCAAGGTATGTGTAGTCATGTGGATGATATCAAGGTATGTGTAGTCAATGTTGGATGTATCAAAGCATGTGTAGTCATGTGGATGATATCAAGGTATGTGTAGTCATGTGGATGATATCAAGGTATGTGTAGTAATCTGGATGTTATCAAAGCATGTGTAGTCATGTGGATGATATCAAGGTATGTGTAGTCATGTGGATGATATCAAGGTATGTGTAGTCATCTGGATGATATAAAACCACGTGTAGTCATGTGGATGATATCAATGTATGTGTAGTCATGTGGATGATATCAAGGTATGTGTAGTAATTTGGATGTTATCAAAGCATGTGTAGTCATGTGGATGATATCAAGGTATGTGTAGTCATGTGGATGATATCAAGGTATGTGTAGTAATCTGGATGTTATCAAAGCATGTGTAGTCATGTGGATGATATCAAGGTATGTGTAGTCATGTGGATGATATCAAGGTATGTGTAGTCATATGGATGATATCAAGGCATGTGTAGTAATCTCGATGATATCAAGGTATGTGTAGTCATGTGGATGATATCAAGGTATGTGTAGTAATCTCGATATCAAGGCATGTGTAGTCATGTGGATGATATCAAAGTATGTGTAGTCATGTGGATGATGTCAAGGTATGTGTAGTAATGTGGATGATATCAAAGTATGTGTAGTCATGTGGATGATATCAGGGTATGTGTAATGATGTGGATGATATCAAAGTATTGCAGTCATATGGATGATATCAAAGTATGTGTTGTCATATGAACGATATTAAATGTGTGTAGTAGTGTGAATGATATCGAGGTATGTATAGTCATGTGGATGATATCAAGGTATGTGTAGTCATGTGGATGATATCGAAGTATGTGTAGTCATGAGAATGATATCAAGGCATGTGTAGTAATCTGGATGATATCAAAGCATGTGTAGTCATGTGGATGATATCAAAGTATGTGTAGTCATGTGGATAATTTCAATGTATGTGTGGTCATGTGGATGATATCAAAGTATGTATAGTCATGTGGATGATATCAAAGTATTGCAGTCATATGGATGATATTAAAGTATGTGTAGTCATGTGGATGATATCAAAGTTGTGGTCATATGGATGATATTAAATGTGTGTAGTTGTATGAATGATATCAAGGTATGTGTAGTCATGAAGATGATATCAAGGTATGTGTGGTCATGTGGATTATATCAAGGTATGTGTAGTCTTCTGGGTGACATCAAAGTGTGTGTGTGGCCATGTGAATGACATCATCAAAGTATGTGTAGTTATGTGGATATCCAGGTATATCTACACAGCTATGTAGATGAGATTGCGGTATGTGTAGTCATGTGGATGACATCATCAAAGTATGTGTAGTTATGTGGATGATATCAAGGCATGTGCAGCCATGTGGATGACATCAATATTGTGTAGTCATGTGTATAACATCATCAAAGTATGTGTAGTTGTGCAGATGAAATCATCATATGTTCAGTTCTGTGTAGTTATTTAGTTGACATAAACAACCACAAATCAGATACCCTGAATATTTATTCAATCATCCGTAGTATACATATTTCATTGTTACAGGAAATCAATGAAGAATTGAAACAGAAATGGCCATCAATATTCACCGCTGCAGTTTCTAGCAATAAAGACATTAAAAGATACACTGAGAGATGTTGTAGACTCGGAATACAGATGATAGCACTTCAACCGCCATTACAAATATTACATAATGATAAGATCTTCGTCACAGATCGTCATGAGCCGATAGAAGCTACAAGCATGGCATCACTGAAGAAAGCGAGTGTAGATTTCTTTATATGGCCAACATTAGTCGATATCAAGGGCAATGTACTCATAAAGGGAAAAGTCAAACTACAGTGATTGAAGCAGCTTTTGTGATGAATGAAAACTTTTCACAATAGATCTTCTGCAAAAAAAGGCCACCAAGATGTCTTCGGGAGCGAGATGCTACAAGAATTTGTTTATTATCTCTCGTCATAATGTTCCTCTCATCTACTATGCAACCATGTGATGACAGGAGAGAAGCCATCATAAGTTTGACATTCAAGAAAAAATCTGCAAATCTGTTTTTCTGCTAATGAATGCAACTGCATGGTTTGGTAACCACTATCCTGCTGAAAATTACAGCTTCAAAAACCATGAGCATACTTAATATTCAATTTGATGATATTACCAATTAAATTCTCAAAGCGACTCAAGCAGATTCCAATTTTCCATTACTGCACATATATGCAGCGCATTAGGAGAAACAACTTTCCCATTGCATAAAATGGGAAAACTTCATATACCATACTGAAAACTAACCAAATTATAAATTTGTTGAATTGTGTTAACATATTGATCAGAAGGTACCTGTCATACATGACATTTTTCATTCAAAGGCACAAAATGCAATAATCTTATTATAACCAGCATAAAAATTCTAATTTTGACATTTTCCATGACATATTTTTAATTTTTATACTAGGTATGCTGATGAATTTGATTTTGGCGTGAACCTCCTTAATAATATTCCCCAACTGTTGAGGGCGCTCTGCATTCAGGAATTTAGAAAAGTTTAAATATATATTAAATTTTACGTTGAGGGCACTTTGCATTCAGAATCTTTTTTACAACTTTACTGCCATCAGTTTTTTTCAATAGTGCAGACTGGTTTTTTTTGAAGGGCAGTAGTCATTTCGCCATGGATGTGCGAGATATACATTGTATAGGTCTATATATAAACAAAGATGACGACTTTGTCTGCTGTGTAGATCAGCGAGTACAAACTGAGACGTTACCAAGCTTTAATTAGGTATTTTTAGTGGAAGGTGTCGAAGGAGTCTCCGGTGGTAATTATTGAAAGTTGCCTCAAATTTAAATCTCATACTTGTGATTTCAATTAAAAGAGCCCATTGGATTGTGGGGAAAATCTATGTTTATCAACACAAATGTCGCACATGCGCAGCACGACAACTACAGCCATTTAACGTCATGTTGCGCAATTTTTGCACATTTTTGTATATTTCTATAATTTGTTCTTTACTTTTGGATCTGATGGACATAATTAACCATCAACTACCAAGTTTGTTTAAAATTTTTAAAAAAAAAGAAACGTGTTTAATGTCAAAGGAGACAAAATAAAAAAAAAAATATTTGACCCTGACATTCAAAAGGTTAAGAGACTCGTTTATGCATTATTGCAATATATTTCCTATAATTTTGTTTTTATATTATAGATTTTCTGTATTTTATCAAGTAGTGTAATAATACATTTGAAATTGAACAACTGTTGTAAATTTTAGTCTCAAAATATAACTCTCATCATGAATGTTAATGCTGATTAACATTAATAACATCATTAATGTTAATGTATGCATAGATTTGTCAAATAGTTTTTTTTTTTAAACATTATTTTCAACAAATACAGTGCCTAACAGAGATACAACTGGATTAAAATAAACCAATAATTTAATCAATTCTCAATTCAGATAAATATGTTTATTAAACATTACTGCATTATATTTACATTTTATACAAACATATTTATATTATTAACAAGATTGGCCTAGTTGTGGCAATTTTATTCTTTTTTTTATGATAATTCCCTTAAAATACAAAATCAAAAATATCTGGTTGTGATGACTGGTCTAATCTGCTTCATCATGTAAAGCCATCACTACATTTCATGCAATGAATATGCCAATGAATAGGGTGATAGTAAGCTGATGACAATCTGAGCAGGACGCGCATAGAATTCATTGCACAAACGCACACCTGCTTTTAATTTTTTAACTAATTACAATGAATAATTATTAGACAAGATTACGCCAAAGAATTGAGTCATGGTAAGTTTGTGTCAAACTAGGATTTAAAAAAGAAGAAATGAATTATCATATAAAAAAACAAAATTTACACAGCTGGGCCAGTCTAATTGCTTACTGAAATATACATATCTACAGTGATTGGCAGACAGGTTCAGGAATATTCCATTATTGGTAGGTGTGTTTTTATTTATCACACAAGGTTTTGGTATCTACATGTACCATTATGTAAACAGTGCTTTTACTTCATAGTGGCATCAAAGGCAATTATCGATATTATACACTACAGCTATTTTATAAAGTTTTGGAGACCTCTGCTACCATGAATGAAAATCTTTATAAGAACTTGTTTCTGGTCAAATTCGTTTCAAAAATTAGGGTGATGAGGTGATTTTTTTTATAATTATTTGGTTTTGACCCGTTTCCTTGTATATTCAGTAATTGAAATTGTGTTCATATTAGGGACATGGTTGTCTTTGAGAACACATATAAATATTGTGTAAACAAATAATGTATTTTACATGGAACCCACAGCAATGCTGCAATGATCGTACACTTTTTTATTACTAAAATTTGAAGTAACAATCTTTTGTGTACCCAGTCTTTGTGATGTACTTGATTATATCTTTATCAAATGATTTTGTTCCACAAATCAGAATCATTGTATTTGACCTGACTGGGGTTGTCTCTTTAACAACCAAGTCTTCATCCAGTCTCCCATAATGCACTTCTTCACCATAGCGATGAATGCTTGTATTAGGCTCCTGTTAATTTAAATAATAAATTTGTAAACTTGTTCTTATATGTATGTGAATTGTATGTGAATTGTATGTGAATGGTATGTGAATTGTATGTAAATTGTATGTGAATTGTATTTTCTCATACAAGCTTTCTGTGCAACATCACTGCATACATCACCACATAATGTGGAATTTACTGCAAAACATTTTTTTTCCCCGCAATAAATTTTGAAAATACGATGATCTGACAGTATCTGTAAGAATGAAATAATATGCTATTTTAAACATTCCAATGAAGTGTTATAAAAATATATATGCTATAAAATTTTGTGGTTTGCCTGAATTCCAAAATTAGGAATGGGCAATCAAAATAATTCTTTGACTGTCAGGGTCAACTTTTGTAAATAAAGTGAGATGATCAGTGTGGTGTGCATGCATGAGAAATGAGTACTGTAGTAACCAAGTCTTGTTCAGAATATGTACAAAAAAAGGAGACATTACCTAGATTTAACTAGTTAATTCCTGTTATGATTGGAATGCATTGAGGGATCGATATAGTGCACATTTCTACCAGATCAAAAGTTGCATTCAGGCCACTTGAAGAGTGCATTGCATTGTGGGAAAATCACAGTTTATCAACACAAATCTTGTACATGCATGGAGTGACAACCATTGCCCTTTAAGAACTTTAGGATAAATAAATACAGGTTATTGTCACTGTGAATTCAGAAACCCTTTTGAAATGACTGGTGTTATTACATAGCAAACAATGAAATACTGGTATTACCTGACTTAATACATAACAAACAGTGAAATTCCAATATGCAGCGAATTCATTGAGAGTTGACTTCAATAAGATATCTTCATATGTACGACAACAAAATATCAAACGTACAAATGTATCTTCATCTTTATTACAGACTATTGACTGTATTATTTGTAACATTGGAGCTAATCCTGTGCCAGCAGCAAACATTATAATACGCTGAAACTGACAGAGAAAAAATATGTTTATTGGTATTCCATACCCTAGGCCACTGGTCCAAAAGTACAATAGTAATATTATTAAATATACAATAGTTGAGAACAAAATAATTAAACTCTGAGAAACATGTCTTGTTTCTTAAACGCAAGGTAAACAAATTTACTCTATTTCGAATATTGGCAATGTTGATACAACTCATGAGCTTGATATATTTACCAGGTTAACAATCAGTGTGATAAAATAATGGGATATACTAGACATGTAATTCATGGAAGGTGGGACAAATGGCCAAAAATGGTATTTGTCCCCGATGGTGTTATTTACACAAAATAGAAACCATATATCCAAATTGTGATTATTCCTATACATCATAGAATAACAAGAAGAGAACTAGTCTAAGGTTTAAATAATAATTGCATTTTCTTTAAGAAAATAATTGTTGTAAAATATGTGTGTTTTCATTTTCATGCTAAATTTGTATTTCTACTCGGGTGGTTGTCTGCTGGTGGATAGAATTGTCACCAAGGGAAATCATAATTAGGCATGTTTATTTGTGATGTCTGAAATTTGAAATTTGAAAATAAATTATTTATCACCATCGAATTACTGTGGGGACGCTGTTCACATACTGTTCTGATAGTGATTGTAGCAAGGTAGGTAGCGTCTGCAGTTGCGAGGCAAATGCAGTGATAAGTTTGAATACTATGTTTTAATATACATGTATGTGTGTTTATTTGCAAAAACAATTTCAAACAATAATTGTACTGGATTTCAAATACCTTGTTTGGCTTGTATGAGAAAGTGCCAAATGGTCCTCTCCATTCTATTTTATCACCAATATTCCATGTTTTGATATATGATGACATTTTACCATTCTGATAAATCTAACAATACAAATACAAACAGAAATATAACAACAATCAGAAATAATCAGCTTTTGGACATTACTTTGATTCATTTCAAATATGAATTCATGTTCCAAGCATGGTCTATATTAATAATTAAGATTATAAACTCGTTGCTATGGGTCAGGTCATGGTTGCTATGGGCCAGAAATGTCCTTTCATATACTGTAAAATACTTTATTTTCGCTTGGAATTAATTTTTGCTATTTTCGCTGAGGGAATGATTCAGTGAAAATAAAATCCTATATTTTACATTCAACTTGTCAAAAATTAGTGAAAATAAAATCCACACAAAACACCCAAAAAGTCTTTTCAGCGAAAATTAATTCCAGCTAAAATAAAGTATTTCACAGTATACAGTACAATATATTCAATATATTGGAAACTATAGCGTTATTTACTGATTGGCTGCTATGGTCATTGTATTGGTTGCTAGGGACATACCCACAAACCCTCCTCACCAATGTTGACTATTTGTTAGCTTTACTCATCAAGAAAACAGAAGAATCAAGTTCATGCACAATAGTGAAGTCAGAGATGCCATCATAAAGCAAAATAATAAACTGAACAGATACTGAATGATGGCAAAGATATTTATGTTGGCTAAGAAACCATGAAAGTCATGTAACTCAACTTAAAAAAGTTCTATATTTATTATACAGTTACATCTACTGTAAACGCAATACATACTGTTAAATACTTTATTTTAGCTGGAATTAATTTTCTCTGAAAAGACTTTTGTGTTTTCAATGGAATTTATTTTCACTGATTTTTGACAAGTTGAATGTAAAATATAGGGAAAAGGGTATATTCGCTAGATCTTATTTTCACTGAATCGCACTTTAAGTGAAAATCATTTCCAAGCAAAAATAAAGTATTTTACAGTATTATTGGCTTTTAATTTCACTATTTTCACAGTAGAGTGAAAACATGTAAAATAACAATACAACTCATGGTTCTCTGCCAATAGCATGAATGTAAAACCGAGTGCAATTGTTCAAAACATCAAAATAGTGAAATGGCTTCACAGTAATTCAAAACCTGGTGTCATTACCTTGATAAGTACATCAAAGTATCCTATCAAGTCCAATGTACTGATTGGTGTATATTGTCTGGTTATCACTTCTCCATTTACTTCCCCTCTGAGTATAAGATGCTGACCAATATTCAATCCAAAACTTTTGTTGCCTGGTATTTTAAATCTGTATATTTTGCTATCAGAAGACACATTGGTTATGCTGTCAATCACAAAACTTGTATATTGTGCAGGACTTATAGCAGGTTCAACATCATCCTACCGGAGACAACAATATGAAATGAATATGAATAGGTGATTTTCCGTTTCCTATGAGACCTTGCGTAATGCGTGAAAGATACGAACCAAACTTCTGCTGCTGCAGAAACCAAATGATATGATTTTGAATCTTTTTTTTTATAGTTCATGTAGGAATGTTTGTTGATGTTTAACCTTTTCACCACCAGTTTCCCGCCCAATTTTTTCTGCAATTTTATTATTATATTCTTCAATATATCTGGAAATGAACCCTAATTTTGGAGCCAACCAACAAAATTTGAGTCAATTTTCAGTACCTACTTGAAAAATTTGGCTTTTTTTGTCCTAATCTTTTGAAGGAAAGTGCAGACTATAAACAGGACTATTTTGTGAATTTGTGATGAAAAGAGGAAACTGGTGGTGAAAAGATGAAGAAAGGAATATGTTAAGATACTCTGACTTAACTGAGTTCACCTCCCAGCAGGCTTTGTATGATTTTATCAGACCCAGATGAAACATTATTGTTGAATTTTATTTGTCTTCTTGTTAGGAAACATGTACATTTTTCAAAAATGAATGGAGGAAAGCCCCAATTTAGAGGATTCTTGTCTTTCATTAAGCGAATATATACTTGTGAAAACTTTATCGCAAAACGAAATGACAGGATGATACTACATTTAAAAAAATGGACTCCAATAATAGCATTTGTTAGATAAATTAATGGAAAAACAGAACACTACAGAAATGTAATTTTTTCAAATAAATCTGTACATGGAAAACAAACAAATGTAACCTTGGAATAAATGTACCCAATAAAAATTATATTAAAAAAAAAAAAAAAAAAAAAAAGATACTCTGACTTCATCATAGTGAATCATCATCCAATGTGTATAGCATATTGTTAAGCGTAGAAATACTCAAAAATACTGTAGAATACTTTATTTTCGCTTGGAATTTATTTTCGCTATTTTCGCTGGAGGGATGATTCCGTGAAAATAAAATCCAGCGAATATACTTTTTTTTTCTATATTTCACATTAAACTCATCAAAAATCAGTGAAAATAAATTCCATACAAAACGCCCAAAAAGCCTTTTCAGCGAAAATAAATTCCAGCAAAAATAAAGTATTCCACAGTAGTTTTGTGTTTGTGGAACCCCACGTGATGTTTTGATGTCACTAGGACATTTGATTTTAGACAAAATCTAGGATCTCACAGTGATAACGATAATCACAGGTGATGTCACATATTTGATAAAAAATTATTTTCTCATTTTGAATTGCATGTTGAAAAAAAATAAACCTAAATATTATATAGTAAGATCAACAAGTGTTCTATTCCAGCCTAAATGGGAAACCTGTCTAAATTAACAGTAAATCCTAGTCCCCCGTTTGATAGTGTTATCTGTAATTAAAGTCCTCAATTAACCAAAAACCTCTGGAAATGTAACAGTGTTCAACTAAGGTACGTTTCATTGCAATGGTGGATTTAGAAGGGATACACTGGGCATGCACCCAATCATTACCAAATCATTCTTACTCATAAATATATATCCCATAATGCAATGTGGTAATTATCTTTATGTTAAAGGTGCCCCCACCTCTCCAATCAAACATCCTACATTCATTCCTGCACTGTCTGTGCTCCCACTGACACACCACCAGTTGCAAAGAAATTGTGTCACTTTTGCCATCAATGATTGAGTGAATTCTGTTTGCAAAAAATGAATTTTTCTGAAAAGTCATAACTTGAAAATATCAAATCATCATCTACAGAAAAGTAAAAACTAAACATCACGAACAAATTATAATATTTATTGTTCAATTTTCTATATGAATTTGAAAAATATTATGATCTTTTATAATGTTATTTACTCCAAAAAAATAAGTTGAAAATTGGTGAAAAAAAACAAGCAGTAAATACCGGTAGATGCATTAATTATCCACCATTTAATTGAATTTCATTAAAATAAATCCATGTAAACATCTACATGAAATTACAATACAACTCATAGTTTCCCTGTAAAATACGTGAATTTAAAACCCGTTAAATATAATCAAAATACTGAAATTAAAAAAGTAAGTAAAATTTTTTATTTCTACATTATCTTTGTACTTAGTACCAAAAATTGCGTTTTCTAGGAGAGAATTATTTGTGCTCGATTTCAAAATTCTTCGCCACCAGCTCATATTGCTTGTAGAAAAATGTGGAAGATATTCCTCTCCAACCTATCCTATCACTGGTATGTTTGACTGTAGTACCTGTGTATCACACTGCACTGCTTGTACAGGTCCTTGTTTTGTTTTCTCTTCCCACAACTTGAGATCTTCCTCATATAGGTCAAAGACACATGGCACGCATCCTGTACCACAACAGTCGCTAGGCAATGGTTCTGATGGTTTCTCTGGTAACCACTTCAAATCGTGACTGCTATCTCCCATCATGCATTTCCAATTATTTTCTTTCTACATTCTTTGTACATAGTTACCACAGCAGCTTGGTATTCATATTTGGAAACCATTTACCTTAATAAATAAAACAAATTCAGAGTTTATAATTTATTCAAACTCAAATGTGAGCAAAGTTGTCATTATAAATTGTCACTGCTTTTTTTTTTGGAGAGTTGTGCAATTAACAAGATAGGTTCAAATGAAATCACATTTGTAATATTTTTTTGCAATATTTACATCCACAATAAATAACTTTTTTGTTTTTCATTCTTGTTCAACTATGTTTTGTTGATAATCCCACAACTAAGCGAATTCCATGTCTACATGTTTTTCCACAGAGTCAGCTGGTGCACACATGATAATAAAATAAATACGAATATTTACTATATGGGGCCACCATCTTGAATG